TAAATGTGATTTTTGTTGTTATTATAAAAGGATCCTCCTATTTGAAATGTGTTTGGTTATAGTAGATGGGAGAGGTGCTAGTTGCATATCTTTAGCATACAAACCAGGAAAACTAAAAACATTATCACCAGTTTCTAGCTAAATGTATTTATTGGCAACGTGTCTACATATAAACCCACTCACACAGTAACTTGGACTCACTTCTCTTTGGTAAAACTCACCATCTGGTATTTCTCTCCAAACACACTAGTAAAAAATATTAACATTGTCATTCGGCTTTCAGGTCAGATGACATGGAGTTGTCCTTTCTCCTAAATACTGACCTCCATTTTTCTTTTCAGGCTTGCAGGAGAGCATAGCCATGATGCTAACCTCACCCCACTGTTTAAGAGTCTGAAGGAAGAGTTTAAAAATGGCATGAGAAAGCTAATCAGGAAAAAAAGAGTTTGGGATACTTTTTGAGAATGACCGTATCAATGACTCCAAACACAAAGAGTTCCAAAAATGTTTTTCAAGTACTTTTTCCTGTAGAAGTATTCATTCAATGACAGAATCATCGTACAGAAGGCAGAATCTGTTTAAACTCAGTCAACTACCATCCAGGAGGCTAATGCTCCAACAACAACAAAAGGACACCAAAGGGTTCTGCCTCTGGCATAAAAAGGTAGAGACAATCATCCAGTAGAAAATATTTACAATAAAAAAACAAACAATAAAACAAAACAATTCCCCCCAAAATACACACGCACACACACACACACACACACACACACACACACTCCCATTCTAAGGGCTAGTCTGGGAAGCCAAGCTTTATCTCCAGGGTGGCAGTCAGTCCGATTCAGAGTTGAGAGATCCATTGCCAACAATCATCTTGCTGTAGTTCTTCTGCTGCTCTTCCTTAAAAGTGTTCTTCACCTTATCTCTCTTCAACCCACCATCCCTGGGAATAGAAAGGCAAACAAATAAAAGATACTCCTACCAATGATGCAAAAGGGTTACCTATTAATACTTGCTGCATGGTTTGCCATGACGCTTATGCAGCTGGTCAGCAATGGGACAAAGAACACAATTTTGGAAGCAGAATGACCCAGATTCTAGTCTCTGCTTTACCACTGACCAGAGATGTGTTCCTATGAGGGAGGAACAATCGCTCTGAGGCATGGTTAAAATACAGAACGATATATCCGCTCAGTTTCTTCTTTAGGGCCGGTGAATTCAATATGTAGACTCTATATTAAAACTAGAGTTGTTTACCTATCTTTTTCCCCAAGGAAATCAAAATATTGTTGTTGTTCTTATCTAATTGATCCCTGTCTTACTAGAAAACCATATAGATAATCTATAATAATAAAAGTGTAATGTGCTAATTAGACTGGACGTCCTTCCAGACGACCTTTCAGACGAAGCCAGGCCTGTGAGGGAAGCTCTGGTCCCAGGTACCTGCCAGCGACCAGAGGGAAGCCCAGGTCCCGGGTATGGGAGGGAAGCCAGGGCCGGCAATCAGGGGAAGGAAGGCCTACTCTTGCACGAATTTCGTGCATTGGGCCTCTAGTTCAAAATATACACATAAGAAATGGTGAGGGTACTGAATTCCTTAAAGATAAATCATTACTCAAATCTAAGCCTATGTCTACCAAGTTGTATTTTCATTCACAGCACTATGTTTCAAGCAGGTAAAATATAATCTTCTGTATTCCAAAACAGACTCAGAATAAAACAAAATAATAATAAGTTGCATTCAACTGGTAGGTAGTGCCTACATAAGCAGCATTCCTTAGCTCAGAGCCTGTGAATCTTTGAACTCTCTCCAGAGTGGTGAAAACACAGACCTGCCTGGGTTATGAGGACTCCGTGCGTGCCTTTCCTTCGTTGGAGAACACAAAGGAACAACAAACTGTAAGAGTTGGGAGGAGACTGGAGTATCAGGGGCCACTCTCCCTCCTAATCAAATGTTTTTCATTTCAACTCTTGGGAGGGCATCAACTGAGAACTTGCTTACTTTATACTGTGCCTGTTTAACTTTAACCCAGTTAAGCACAAATGCTTACCAAGTGCTCCCTGATAATGATGAATAAATCACAGGTTAGCCAGTGAACTTAATGCCATGAAGACAGAACCTGACCTACAAGCAGACGCCTGTCTGAGCCCAGGGCAATGGCCTCTAGAGCAGCAGTTCTCAACCTGTGGGTCGCGACCCCTTTGGCAGTTGAACGACCCTTTCACAGGGGTCGCCTAAGACCATCCTGCATATCAGATATTTGCATTATGATTCATAACAGTAGCAACATTACAGTTATGAAGTAGCAACGAAAATAATTTTATGGTTGGGTCACAACATGAGAAACTGTATTTAAAGGGCCAGAAGGCTGAGAACCACTGCAGAGTCAAACCTAAGCCAGTACACCAGTAAGTCCTCAACTTAAAAATACACAGTGGGCCACAAACCCTCCAGGGATCAGTCGTAAAAATATTTCCATGGAAAAAAAGTTATAAAGCATCTTTAGGTCCCCAAAATTGCCCACAAAAGTCTCTTTTATCCAAATGAACTGCCTCGAACAACCACATTTATGTGAACGCTGAATAATAAGAACCGAGGAAGGGAGAGGGAGACCAAAAGAAAGGCCATTCCTTCTTTCCTGAGGTCCAGGCCAAAAATGGCAAAATATGAAATGAGCAATGTTTGCCCTTAAGCATCCTGACATTATTTTTATGTAATTCTCCTTCCCAAGCATCCAGTAAACCTCACACTGCCCTAAGCGCCCCAGCTTTTACTTGCCACCCCTATAGACTTCGAAGTTGTGCCCAGTTCCCCTTTGCAATGACAGCAGATCTTGGTTCTTAAGGCAGGCAGCAGCCATATTTAAAAGCCAGTTTAAGATGATATAACTAAGTTTTCATTTAATCTAGGAGAAAACTGATCCAGATATGCTAATTGAGGCCTAATAAGTAGGTGACAAATACATCTGGAAATGTAGTGAGTCTATTTTCTTTTCAAAGACGAGGCTATGTCATTAAAATAAACTTTTATTATAAAGTTGCATATAGCCTGATAAAAGGAAATTGAAAAATTCTGAGAATCATTTCCAACAGATTTCATTTAAGCCAAAGTGTTGGGAGTCTGTCCTGTGGCTGACAACCCTTGGCTGTTTTTGTCTCTCACAGCTTGCTTGCTTTCTTTCCTTTCTGAGGCTATTGAGTTAAAGCTCTAAGCTTTTCATAATGGCTTCAGGACAGGAGTAGGGCTGGGATGTCAGGTAAGAGGAAAGGAGAACAGTTCAGAAAACAATGAACAAGGAAGCCAGTTAGTTATACAATGAACATGAACCCCTAGGGCATTTGTAAATTAAGTCATTGTAAACTAGGGCATTGGGAAGCCTGTCCCTTCATGATGTTTCACTTATTCCAGCTTAGATAGCATAATACAAATGTTAGTCTTAACCCATCTTAGCCCTAGGGCCTTAGTCAGTTGCCTTGAATCAAGAAATCAAGCTCTGGCCCAGCTGGTGAGGCTCAGTGGTTGAGTGTCCACCCATGAACCCGGAGGTCACGGTTTGATTCCCAGCTGGGACACATGCCTGGATTTCAGGCTCCAACCCCAGTGGGGGCATGCGGATGCAGCTGATTGATGTGTGTCTCTTATCATTGATGCTTCTA